CCAAAGTGACCTCCAGTAGGGCTGCTTATGTAGTTCTTTAAGGACATCAGGAATGCGGGATCTTGGAAGTATCAGTTGCCATCGGAACGTCTTCCCATCATCCGATTCGAATTTCCGGTATAAGACGCCGTTTCGAATGTGAAGTGAATCCCAGAGTGCCCAATATTGTTTGGTTGTAGGACTACAGATAGAAATGTCCTGCCAGGTAGGTTTTCTGTTTGATGACTCCATTAAATCAATTATGGGTTTAATGTCGCGGTCTTCCAGCTGGTCTTTCCTGACTTCATCATCACTCCACGGTTCTCGATCAGCCGATGTTGATGTTGTAATTTGTCTTGCGACCGGAGTCAGCAGCTCGTATTTCGCTTCCACCCTGGAACAATATCGGCAGCTTTCTTGGCAAGGTCTTCTAGACAGGGCGTCGGCGTTTCCGTGTGATGATCCCTTACGATGACGGATAGTGATGTCATATTCTTGGAGTCTCTGTATCCACCTGGCTATTTGACCCTCAGGATTCTTGAAATTTAAAAGCCAGGTCAATGATGCATGATCGGTGCGGAGCAGGAATTTTCTGCCGTATAGATAGTGATGGAACTGTTCTACAGCTTTGACTATGGCGAGCAACTCTTTCCTGGTGACACAATAATTCCTCTCCGGTTTAGACAGGCACTTGCTCCAGTACGCCACTACACGTTCTTGGCCGTCTATTTCTTGGGACAAAACAGCACCGACACTTTCATTGCTCGCGTCGGTGTCGAGAATAAATGGTCGGTCGAGCTGAGGATACGTCAGGATTGGAGCAGATGTTAAAGCCTCCTTTAAGTTGTTAAATGCATCCTCGCATTCTTTTGTCCACAAGAACTTTTGGTTGCTCTCTGTCAGCTTGTGAAGGGGTCTTGCGATGGAAGAAAAGTCCTTCACGAATCTCCTATAGTAGGTGCAAAGCCCTAGGAAGCTTCTCAGCTGATGGACATTTTCGGGACGTTTCCAGGATTTAACGGCTGATACCTTTTCAGGATCCGTGCGCACACCTTCTGCAGAGATGACATGTCCCAGGTAAGTCACTTCCTTTCGGAACAATTTGCATTTAGCGGGACTCAGCTTCAGATTGGCTTCTTTCAGTTTCTGAAGCACCTTCCTAAGATTTTCTAAATGTTCTTCAAAACTCTTTCCGACGATGATGATGTCGTCCAGGTATATCAGGCAGGCTTCGTAGGAAAGGCCTTTCAAAACAGTCTCCATAAGACGTTCGAATGTTGCCGGCGCATTACACAGTCCAAACGGCATCACCTTGAATTGCCAAAGCCCTTGTCCCGTAGTAAATGCCGTCTTTTCTCGGTCTTCAGGCTGTATTTCTACCTGCCAATACCCACTCTTTAAATCAAGTGTTGAGAACCACTTGCTTCCAGAAAGAGTGTCTAGAATGTCGTCAATTCTAGGAAGAGGGTAACTGTCTTTCTTCGTAACCTCATTCAACCGGCGATAGTCGACGCAAAATCTTGTTGAGCCGTCTTTCTTTCTGACTAGGACGATGGGAGATGCCCATGGACTTACTGAAGGCTCGATGACATCGCCTTCTTCCATATCTTTTAACAGTGTTCGCACCTCTTCCTGTTTAGCAAACGGTAGACGTCTTGGATGTTGCTTGATCGGGGGATGATCGCCGGTATCTATTCTATGTTGTGTCAAACTAGTTCGAACCACGTCAGAAGACGAGCGGGGAAAAAACAACTTGAAGACCTTTAATGACGCGATCGGCAGCATTCCTCTCTTTATCGTTTTATTGCGCATTCTGCAATAACTCCGATGTAATGCTCTCTGAGGACACGGATTCTTGGATGTTACTCTTTCTTTCAACGGTGGTTACTGGAGTACATACTGCAACCACTTCACCTTTCTTAATAATTCTCCCCTTCTCAGTTACATTGGCGACTCTTACCCGGATAACCGTTCTGGATAGGTCGACGAGTGTTGAGGCTACTAGTACTCCTTTTGGGCTATTACAGTTATTGGGATATTCTATGATGCCGTAGCGGAAATTTCTGTTTTCGGCTATGGATCCAGGAAGTAAAATTTCTGTTCTTGCCGGTATTGTGATATTGTCTTGTGCTATGATTTTATGGACAGATTTAACTTCTTCATCATTGACTCCAAATAACGCTATGTCCTCAGATGTAGAATGCAATTCGTTATTTTTAAAGTCCAAGGAAAAATTGTATTTCCTTAGAAAGTCCAATCCGAGTATGCAAGAATCAGTGATCTCTGCTACATATGCCGTGTGATGGTAAGCGGCACTTCCAAACGTGATGTTAGCATTTACTTTTCCATCGATGTCGATCTTCTCACCGGACACAGTCTGTAGGGGTAACGCAGGGCGGCGTCCAGATAAGTTTGCTTCCCAGTTGTTGAGCCAAATCTTTTCGGATGATGGTAACGTTGGCTCCTGTATCTATCGTCATATTGCAGGGAACTCCATTAATATGTCCTATTATGAAAAGTCCATTACTGCCGCCTCTCACTGCAGAAATCTGAAGCGCTTTAAACTGGGGCTTTTCATGATCTGGCAACCTCCGCCCCGCGAGATGGCCACTAATTAGTTTCCCTGCTGTTTGTTAGGAGCGGTCTTAGCATCCGTGCCCTGGGGTGTTCTGCAGTTTCGTCGGATGTGTCCTTCAGCACCGCAGTTCCAGCACTTTACGGTCGGTTTCTTGTCACCAATATTCTGTCTCAAGGCGTTCAGTTGTCTAGTTAAATCGTCTAGACGAGCAGTGACTTGATCCCCTGGCTCCTGGACTTGAGCAGCTCTGACTGGATGGCGGTCTCGACGGGTGGCTTGCTGGGCTGCCTCAAATTTCATGGCATACACTAAAGCGCTTTTCAGATCTTTAACATCCGCCATTCGCAGTGCTTTCTGTATTTCAGGGTCCCGGATGCCATCGATGAAATATTGCAGGGACAGGATTTCCCTTGTTTCTGTCGGGCACTCCGAAAAGGCGTGATGTGACAGCCTTTCAACATCCGTGGCGAGCTCCTGAAGCGTTTCGGTGAGCTTCTGTTGACGAGAGATTTTAATTGGAGCCTGCTGTAGTCTTTTAAACATTTCTCGCCGAAGCGCAGCTCCAAAGCGCCGGATAGAGCTTCGAAATCTAGCCTTTGATTTTCGGGAAGCGTCTGCAGGATATCCGCTGCGTCTGCTCTCAGAGAAGCGGCGAGATGACAGGCCTTAGCTTGGGAATCCCATCCATTCGCATCCGCCAACGATAGAAAATTGTGTCCTATATACACTTGCCAGGAGGTCTTCCCATCATATGTAGGATAGTTTCAGAACGGAAACGAGCAGGCATCGATAAAATTTAAAACCTTCAGAATTGTTTCCTACCGTCGCTATGCACTTCTTTAGGCTGTCAACTTCTTTGGCGACGGCAGCAAACAGAAACCCTATCATCAATTTGTTGTTCGACGGCAGAAAAAGAAAACTCTCTTTTCTATATGTTCTTTTACAGAAGAAACTTCTTCTTCTACTTGTTCTTTTACCGAAGAAAACCTTTCTTCTATTTGTCCAACTTTATTTTCAACCGCGTCTATTCTGCCTTCCATAGCCTCAAATTTATTTTCTATTACGCAGGTAATTTCTCTTTTCATTTCGTCCTTGACCTGCTTTCATCTCATTTTTAAGAGATTTCATCTCTTCCTTAACGGATTCCTGGCCCAATTTCATTCTGTGCCGTTTTCATTTCTTCCTTGAGGGATTCCTGGCCCAATTTCATTTCTTCTTTAAAGATGTTGGGGCCAGCTTCCATCTTTTCTTGGAAAGCAGCAAAAGCAGTAATCAGCTGTTGCCTCAATTGTTCTTCCATCGCTCTTGTTATTGGCATTCAAATCCCACTCCTGACACCAAAAAAATTGTTGCGTGCGTACGGGTTCGTTATGAAATGAATGCACAAGTCCGATGAAAAATGAACAAAAATTTATTATTATCACAACAAAAAATGCTTAAATTTTCTCAAATTATCATGCAGTATTACAATATCTCACAGTAGTTATCTTTTAACTACTCAAATGTCCAATAGAACGTAATTCAAAACAGCTAAAGAACGCTAATCCGCGAATTCGCTACAATCAACAAGAGCAGTTTTCTAAACAACAACAAACTAAGCAACTACTACAAACAAACTGAGATGTTTTCCTCCTTTTATAAGATTTTAAAATCACGCGCTAGAATTTTCCAGTACTTTCTCGAAATCAAAAAGAGATATTTATTTATTTAACGCACGCGCTCTTGTATTTTTAATTTTTCCAGCTTAGCTTTCTTTTAATATTCGTCACGCGCTGCACTGCGCGAGAAATAAAACCATTTAATTTATAATTAAACTAACATTAGCTTTTTAAATACCAAATTCGTAACATTATATATGTTTCGCCGCATCTGGGAGCGTTCATTCTATGGCATAACTGTCACAAGTGGCACAAGCAGTATTTCGTTGCTAAGCAAATGGGACCTTGTTACATCAACAAATATGGTATAAAGGGTTTGGCTGAAAACTTCCGCGCCTTTAGCTTTATGCCAAAACTGATATGAAGAAAATTAACTAATCATAACGAAATATGCTATGTAATTTCCAAATTCCGTGAATTTTTATTGTTTGACATCCACTTCAGGTTTAAAAAATATATTGCATTTGATAGAAAATTTGCCTAGCGTTTTGTTATAGTAACTCACTACAATGGCTAAGTTTTTAGCAGATGCAAACGCTGTTCTGACACTTACGACAATTAAAATTACAATTTTCAAGCCATAGTATAAACGCTTCTTCAGAGAGTCAAAAATTAAATCATCGAACACTAGGGAAAAAGCAATTGGTAGATTACCAAGAATTTTGCTTGCTTCACCTACCTTATCTGTAACACCTTTTAATTACCTTAGTTAAATGTTTCGTTTGAATAATCGAAGCTCTGCTGTACACTGTTTCATACAATAGCTAATTTTAATTTCCTTTTAGGTTTTCAGATATTTTGAAAAATGATAATGACATGCTGAAGATGGATTTAAGATCTCCTTACTTGCTGAGTGATTTTACAAGAATAAACCAAATATTCAAGTTCTTTTCTCTGTATCCTTATGCGTAGACTCTGTCCCCAATAATATATTTCCTTCCTTTTGTTTCCTTTTTGTCGTTGCCATTGTGTGAATAATTGCATACATTTCCCTAAGGAATAAAAGCTGTCCATGTATGTTTTCTTTTAAGAGGATGGATCTAACTCAAACTAAATATTATTCATTCTGCAAATATATTTGTACTTCCATCTTTGACCTTTTAAATAATTTAATTAAGAGTTTCGATTTGTTATTCCAACAAATGCTTATCTGAAATTTTATTCAGCAACGTTTATTCTAGTTAAATATTATATTAGTGTTGTAGAACTGTGCATTATGAATAAATCAATAAGACGAAAAATGTTCACTGTGTTTTTTCCTCTCATTACCTTACATTTAATATATTACCAAGGGAAAATATTATTTTATATTAGAAATTTATGAAATGGCATTCCAGATAAAAGTAATACAAAGAAAAGATGTATTGCTGATATAATCTGTAAAGAATTGTTTAGTTAAATATTGAATTAATTCACTAAAAATTATTTAGGAAAGTACTCTCGAACTCTATTTTCAAAGATATTCATTCATATCAAGATTTAAACTCTGAAGTCATCGCATGTTAATTATAAATAAAACCCGAATTACAGACATGGTTTTCATTATTTGTATGAAATAAAGACGGGAAAGTATAGCAGATTATCATCTATGTGCATTAATACAGAAATACTTTTTTAAATGGTCAAATTTGATTTTAGAACGATTTTCATTCTACAGCATTATAAAAACATTCCTTAAAATATTTAATTTAACTCGGGTTGGTTTCAAGCAAATAATTTTGAACTGGGCAAATTAACAAAATGAAATTTCGCTGAATTTTCATAAAACGATCAGTTTGAGATAATATGAATAAAACCTTTTCCATCCATTCGGTAGTGTAGAAAGGAAAATTACTTCAGGAAGCGTAATTACAGCAGAATTAGAATAACAAAGCAAAGAATTAAACAGTCCTAAATTTCAAAGCACATATAGAAGAAAATACCGAATAGTCATGTCCCAAAAGTAGCAAACAGTCACTACGGTATCTAAAGATTCAGGTTTTTATCAAAAATCAAATTTCGCATAGAAATGGTACTAAGAATATGAGGCATAGCAAAAATGTTTATAAATAGATTCTGACTGCTAAATAAGCTAACGTTTTGCCAAAAGAAAAGTCTAAATCTGAACAAAATGTGTTGAAAAAAATGTTATCAAATGTGAGAATAAATTTATAAAAGCACTATTTATTACTGATGAACATGTGACATGATTGGTTGCGTTTGCCAGAAAATTTTTATGGAATTTGAGTTGATTTGAGGGAGTGGCCTCGACTCACATAGCCAAATCGATGATTAGCTTTAGGGCCGTAGTGAGACATGCATTATTAACAATTAAAGTTTATAGGATTTGTAATCACAAAATGCATTCCAAAAGAAACACAATTTGCAAACATGCATAAGTACAATTAACAGGAGTAAAATCGATTTTAGAAAGTAACTTACATGATCATTCACGAACTCTTGAAGACAAATGCCTTGATGGAATTATTATAACCTGTAAAATTCTATGCATGCAAGGTGCGTTGTTAACTATCACATAAAATAAGCATCATACATTTTGTGTTCTTTCTTTAATTTTTGCCATCCATTGATCAATAACATGATATTCTGATGATATAAAATTATTCACGTGTATGAAAATGTTGCTAAGTCACCCAATAAATGAAGAGAGAAAATGAAATTTGAAAAAAAAGATATGTTTCTTATAAATTCTTCTTTTCCTAAAGCAAGAAAAGGAATACAAAAGAGCAGTTGAGTAAAGGCATGATAATAGCAAAAGCAGGAAGGCCTTGATTTCAAAAACTAAAATCTTAAGAAAGAACGTGTACGGTAAATAAAAACTTTCCCTACTTTTCTACTAAATTTTTTATTTAAAGTAAGAAGTTTCTTAATTCTAATTTCCTGTTGTCTACAGATCTTTATAAAGATTAGGACAAGTTCAACTGCATAAACCACTAACCAGTTTTTATAGAAAAAACGAAGATTAATAACGATTTTAAAAATGTATCCTACACGCATTATAGTCTGTAAAACTAAAGAGATAATTGAATTTAAAAAAAGTCTTTAAAAGCTCATTTTTATTAAAACATTTGTATTTTTAATACTGAAGAATACAAGCAAAACAACTTGATTGCAGTGCCTTAATTTCCTCTTTTTACATTTATATTTGTACGCTTTTTTAAATTTGATTTATTTTTTTCTGTACATGCATTGAAATGATAGTCATTAAAATAGCGAAAATACAGTAAATGAAGTTCGCATAGTTTTTAAGGAATACACACACGAAGAGTTAAACATTTTTGCCCTCACAAGAGTTACTATGATAAAACGTAATTACAATACCCTAATTTCCGCTGAGGAAATTGCAAGCGACCTTTTTATCTTTACAATTTCTGAAAAAAGACGGAAGCTAGAGCTTGATGATAGGACTTGACCGTCGCAAAATCTGTTATTAGATGGAGAGAAACTGCGTAGTTTGCTAAATTTCAATGTTGTCTGTTTCGAAGTTGGTTTTTAAAAGGACGTATTCCAGTTTTCTTGCCAGCGTTTAAGTCCATAAACAACTCTAAAAGTCGCAGGATTAAATGTTATAATTTTAAAAGCTAAACTAAATACTATTTTAAGTACTGAGAATTCAAATTGTTTCTAAATGACTATCAACCTTGTTTCAACTTTTCGGTTTTAGAAAAAAAATGTCAGGAAGTCAAAATTACTACAGTTGAGCTTAGCAATTCTTCGTACGCACTTTTTTACTTTATAAATTACAAAAACATGTCCTTATTTTATACACAAAGTTTAAATTAAACAGTTAAAATTGTGTAATTTAAATACACATTTTTTAAAATCTTAGTTAAATTTAGGATTAAAGCGTTTTCTATTAGCATCTCTGATAGCTGCAAAATAAGATATTTTGAAAAGCTGAGGAAAGAGCGTAAGCTTCTATAAAAAAATACAGAATTGTTTTAAGCTTGCCATATGATTTCAATTTCTTTCTTCTTTAAGCTTCTTTTCTTCTGATTTAAGCTTATTTAGCTTGACTGCATGATCATTGTCCTTTCCTTTTAATTATGAAAAGGAGTTATGAAAAAATATACTAGCTATATTTATGTTGTGTCGAAAATTTGTAACTGTACTTATTTAATTTAATTAATCAGTATTTGGATATTTTATTTAAATTTAAATTGTAAAGAATGTAGTGGACATATATTTTTTTAACAGTAAAATCTTTGGCTCTATTTATTTTTCAATGGTTCGATTTTTCTAACAAAGATAGGGAGGGTTTCTTTCTGGACGGAAAATACTTCTTTCTGAATAGCATTTAAGATAACAGAAGGTAGTATTATAGTGTTGTGTCCAGAGCCTAAAATTGCGTCGATGCCCACCATAGCCCACTCTGGTACTTTAAGTTTTCGAGATATATTCTAATTCTAGCCTAAGAGCATCGAAGCTCTAAAATAAGAAGGCTCTGGGACTTTTTTTAAGTAACTGGATGATTATTTCAGTAGAAATTTGACGTAGAAAATTTTATTTTTAAAAATAAATTATATAAAAAAATCGCTTATTAAATTTTAATTCATCTGTTTACATTTTATTTAATAATTAATTATTTTAATCTTTCATTATTTTAATAAACTAATCATAGAATAATTAAATAATAAATATATATTAAGCAATAATTAATAAATATGAATTATTAATTAATTTGATATTCATTAACTATTTAATTTAAATTATTAATGATTTAATAATCATTTTAGTTAGTTATTTACTCTTGTGGTTCTTTCCTGATGGTCTTTTTTAGGGCTCCGGCACATTTAGAAATTAAGCCCTGGTTGGGTCGCATGTCTTTCGGCGCTGCTTGTGTTTTGTTTACTGGGTGGTAGGGAAAGATTTAGTTGGCGTCTTGGTTCACTTTTCTTTGTGAATGCTGCAAGTATTGAATAAATGAGTTTCTTTCGGTCGAATGGACGATTGTAAATTTCTTATTTTAAGGGAGGCAGTGATTCTTGTCTTTCTGCATTGCGAGCCTTAATCATCGCAGAACAGATCCAAAGTAAGATCTGACTATACGTAGTATTCGAAGCACTTTCTTAGATTAGAAGATTTTGGCGATCCCTTTGAATTTTGTAGTTGGCATTGATCGCTCATAAGCTTTAGAAATAAATGGGGAAGGTTTCAAGAAAAGAGAAAGATTTAGAATCTGATTTCTTTAGCTTCTCTATTTGCAGCATACTGTAAGGTTTTCCACAATGTTTGCAATTATACATACTTTTATAGTGTTTAATCATATTCGAAAGACATTTGAAACCTAAATTATACCTTTTTAAGCATTCTATTTCCTTCTGCACATAAGACTGAAAGGATTCTGGCGCTTTAGCAAACTATGACTTTCTTTATAGTAGATGCATTTAGCTTTTGTACTAATCGTATTTACTTTGCTATTGCTCTTATAAACTTTACCTTAACCCTTTGCGGCACAGTATGTCCGGTCTGGACACATCTAAAAATTGCCTTCTGTACGCACAGAAAAATTGAAAGAAAAAGGATTTATAGGTTACTATAGGTTACTCTGAACCTGCTTTATGTATATTAGATGACAGATCAGCACAAACTAGTCCATATATTTTAGCCATGTTTCGTTTTTTAAGACCCTCATTTTTCAAAGAAATCTTCCAAATTTTTTTAGGGTATAAAAGGAATCGTTTGAAAAGAAATTTCTGTCTTATTTTTTTGGTTGTATGCTAATCTCCTTATTTTATATTATTTTTAAATTTTTACCTTGAAATCTTGCCTAAAATCAAATGGCGAACCCTAGGTGTGCCCAAACCGGGCTCACCGATAATCTAGGACAACTGAGAGTCTGTATTCTTTGTTTCTCCGCATCTCATCGGTCAGTTCATTGACAACAATGCTCGTTACAGCACTCTTTTCGAAGCTCTATTCAATCAGTGTCCCCACTTTGGGCACACCCACGGAATTAAAACGATAAGTGTATCTTCACAAAATTTTACTTTTGTGTACTCCTCTAGGTCTAATTAGACAGCCTACCCTTTTTTTTTTTAATCACAACTCCAACTTTGAAAGATAGCATGCCGGAAAGGGTTAACGTAAAGGGTCCTTGAGTAATGTTTAAATGTCTCAATCAATTCATTTAACCTTAAAACTTCCTCTTTCTTTAACCGTCTTTCCCACCAGAATTTAGTTGATGAATCTAGTGTTTTCAAAACTACATACTTCACCAAAACTTTCTATTTTCTCTTGT